TTTTTTTTTTTTTTTTTTTAAATATATCTTTATTGACTTCAGAGAGAGGAGAGGAGAGAGATAGAAACATCAATGACGAGGAGAGAGTCATTGATTGGCTGCATCCCACAACCCGGGCATGTGCCGTGACCGGGAATCGAACCCTGATCGCTTGGATCCTGGGTTGATGCTCAACCGCTGAGCCACGCCCGGCTGGGCGAGGGACTGTCCATCTCTAAAGCCAAGTCCAGGGGTCTCCCAGGGCATTTATCACCAGCGCCAGGTTAGGATTAGCCTTTCTATGCATCATCCCCTTCTTGTGCAACTCACACTACTACTTGGCCGTCGGTACTTGGGGCCCCACGAAGCTCCCCTTGAGACCCAGGCTTACCCTCCTCTGAGCACTTCTGTTGTTCACAGGAACCTTGCCTCTGATCTGTTACCTGTCTCACTTGTGCTGTGTGTGGCCCACATTGAGTCTCCCAGCCATATGTTAAGCTCCAGAGCCAATTTTCTTGTGTGTGATTACATTCAGTCAGCAAATATTTAATGAGTGCCTGTTATGTGCCAGTCCCTGGATGAGTTGCCTGGCTTGTGGCAGTGAATAAGGGGTAGGGGGACTGACCAAATAGTTGCAAGCATAAAAGCTTGGCTGTAGGCTGCTAAGAGACTGGGCATCAGGAATGTAGGGTAGGAGTAGGGTCCTGACTTTGGGTTGGCTGGGGAGGAGCTCTCTCTGCGAAAGTGACCTTTCAGCCTGGATCTGAAGGAAGACAAGCAGTTGGAAGTAAAGGGTGGGGTTGGGAGAGCATTTCTCCCCAAAGCTGCAGCCCAAACTGTGGCCAAGCACAGGACAGGACACCTGGTAGGGGCTGCTTAGGGTGCGTGAGGAAGAGAAATGAGGACTGCCTGGTTGGGGGTCTTTCCTGTCCCCTGCTCATCCAGTGCCTGGGCTGAGCTACTCGTGACTCAAGGTGGGGGGTCCAAGGTTTGGGGTCTGCATGTACTTTGTGTGTATGTGCGTTTGCATGCAATTGAGAGAATGTCTGATGGCCTTCCAAATCCAGTCCCAAGTGACACAGGGATCACTGGTGCCATCATTTCCCTTTGTTGATGTGGAGGACTGTGAGAACGGGCTATGTTCCAAACATCTCTGCATCCCTGCAGTGACAGCTTCTTTGAGAACATGTAGATACCTGTGATTTTCTTAATTACTCCTCTACACCCACATCTCTCTCTCTCTCTCTCTCAAGGAGGAGGGGGTATTGAGGGTAAGGTGCTGTCTTCCCCCTCTAGACCTCTGCTCCTTCTTTCCTGCTGTCATTTATGTTTTGACAGCCTCCTGCTGCTCTCCCACCCCTCCACCGCCCTGCCCTTCCCTCACACTGACTTAACCAAGGGAGCCCCTGGATAAGAGAGACTGAAGGAGGAGGCCAGTCTCCTTCCAGCACTCATACGCAGCAATTAGTTTCTGTTATTGCCAATTCAAGATAAGTTGAAAATAACAGAGGAATGGAACCAGGACTCAAAGCCTGTGCAAAGTGCTTTGCATGCATTACCATGACATTTACATGTATGTCACATGGGAAGCCACATATCAGGCCAGGCGAGGGGGTGGGGTCTGCTGGCCTGGAAGTTGAAAGAGCTGGATTCCAGCCCTGCTGGCTCTGCCGCCCTGACCACTTTCTGTCTGTGGGCCTCAGTTTCATCATCTGTAAAATGGAGAGATACTAGGTTATTCTGCCATTTGATGGAGAGTGCAGGCCATAAGCATGTCACGTCTGCCCTCCTGGTCTGTGCAGCAAGCGTGGCAGCAGTTACTGTCCTGATGTGCCTAGAAGAGATGGCTTCTAAACCTTGGCACCAGGCGCGGCAGAACACAGAGAATACAGGTGGAAATGTCCTGAAAGGGGACTGAAAGGGAGGCTGAGAGATAGAAGAAAAACAAAAGGAAGCCTAGAATTGAGGTAACAAATAGAAATAAACACATACGCTAGATCAGTGGTTTCGCAGTTGTGGCCCATGGACAGCAATATCATGTGGGAACTTGTTAGAAAAGCAAACTGTTAGGCCCACCCCAGGCCTGCTGAATCAGAAGCTCAGGAATGGGGCAAGCCCTGCAGGTGATTCTGGTGCATGCTGAAGTTTGAGAACTAATAGGGTAGATAGAAGGAGGGGTGCACAGATGAGGCTAGGAGAGCCAGGTGGGTATTTTAAAGGCTGATCAACCAGCATTTGTTGATCACTTGCTGTGTCAGGTCAGAAACTGGGCACTGCCAGCTTCTTTCTTTCAGTTAAACCCTTCAGGATTGTGGCAAAGTGGGCCTTGCTATTCCCAATTCAAAGATGAGGCCATAGAGGCTCAAATACGTTTTGTCACTGGCCAGAGTCAAAGAGATAGTGACAGAGATAGAATTAGAACCCAGGCCTCTGAGTTCTTTCCACTGTACCAAGCTGCTCCCCACCCATCTGTGTCTCAGCTGCCTGCCCTGGCTCCCTCCTCTACCCCACAGTCACCCAGAGCTCTGCTCTGCTCTCCTCCTCTGCAGCCAGCCATGCAAAGGCAAAAAGCCTGTACCATAAAGGCAAATAAAGGAGACCCTGGGGGATGGGAGTGGGGCCCATCCTCACCTTGCATTCCTCCAGCCTCCAGAGCCCAGTGCAGCCAGGGCACTAAGGTGCTTGCATAATGCTCCCAAGGAGCTGACGTAGTTGCCTTAATGTAGTAACATAATTCACACGCTGGGTGACAAAGTTGACAGATACTCATTGCTGCCTACATGTGCCAAGCCCTGTGCTAGGTGCTGTGGGAGAAACTGAGGCAAGGTGAGTATAGTTTCTGACTTGAAGGAGTTTATGTTTCAGAACCAGGAAAACAAAAAATAACAGTGACCAGCTGAGTTACCAGGGAGCCTGGGACAGCCAGGGTAGGTCCCGCCAAGTGTTAGAGGAGTTCTAAGAGAATCATGTGGTGACTTTAAGAGACAGTGCCAAGGTTTTGGGGACAGTCCTGAGGCTTTGGAGCCAGAGGGCATGGGTTCAATTCCCAGCACTGACTCACTGTGTAACCTTGGGCAAGTCACCTCACGTCTGACCTGTCTTTTTATCTACAAATATGGATTTAGCAACCCTTTGCTCAGGGGGTTGTTCTATTTGATTATAACAGGTGTCATTCAGTGAGTTGTTTCCATCCTTCAGAGGGTCACTTTAGGCCAGAGCAAAACAGAGAAGGCTTCCTGGAAGAGGTGGCTCTTTGCTTTGTCTCTGTATTCTCTAGGAAATCTATACATAGAAGTTGGACGCGTGGGGTTGTAGGAGGCAAATGGCCTTTCGGACAGCTGTAACTATGAATAAAATTATAGTGAGGGAATCATTTTCCTCAATTTGAAAGATTGTTTTTTAATTGTGGTTTCAAACCCTGTTGCAAAGAGCAAAGCTGGGTGGCCAGTCCTCCCTGTTGGGAATCACGACGCTCATGTTCCCTGCCTTTTCTTATAGATGATGCAGTTCGCCTGGCAGAACTACAAGCTTTACGCGATGGGAGAAAATGAACTCCGGCCCCTCACAATGGAAGGCTCCGAGGGCAACATGTTCGGTGAGTGCCCTTTCCGGGGAGACCCACTGCCCCCCAGTGGTTGAGCGGAACTTACTGGTTTTTTTCATCACCTGAGCTGTGTCTCTGTTCCTCCAAGTCTGGGTTCCTTCTGGACTGTTCAGGCTTCTGAGCTTTTGGATTTGGGGCAACCCTACTCTTCTCTCTAACCTTACACACTTCTTTGTATGCCCCAATCACTTCTTTCTTAGAGCAAACAAACTTGGAAATGTACGTGGGGACAGTGAGTGATGGAGACTTGTTTAACCCACTCCTCTGAGGATAGCTGTAAAACAATACTGGGTGTTTTCACAGAGAACCTGAGCACATTTCCAATGAGGTGGGCACATATGCTGCTTTTAGGGTCTTGGGGGCGGGTATCTCTTGCACACTGACTCGGTGGACACTTTAGGGAGCCGCACAGGGACTGCTGTGTGTCGGCAGCTTGTGTTTGATCTGCAGCCTCACTGCTGGTGTCCCTGCCCTTTCCAGCCACAGGATTCTCCTAACCCAGCACCTCAAAAGCCTCTCTCAGACGAAGAGACTGCAAGGTGCCTTACTGTGGGCAGGGCCTCGGGTTTCAAATTTAACACCCATCCAGGTTGCCAGCTCCCCTCTGTTCAGGCCTCTCACGTGAAAAGATGCTGGCAGCAGCCCGACTTCCTTCTTCCCTGAGAGACAGGAGGTATCTGGGGCTGGAGACGGAAAAATCCAGTACCTGTATTCCTCACCCCTTAGACACATAGGCCCCTGAAGTCAGGGACCAAAGAACCAAGTCAGATACCGAGTCCCAGGGAAATCTCAAAAGCAGGTTTACGAGGGACAGCCTCCCCTACACACACACACACGTGTGTGGCCCTGTCGGAAGTATCTGTGTTGTGGGAAAAGGGACATGGGACCTTCCTGCCTCGCTCTAACCATCCAGATTCACACCCCTTCTGGCTGTTCAGACAATGTACTCCCCTGGTGAGGAGGGGGTGTGTGAATTTGGGTGGCTTCTTTCTCTACCACCCCCCTCCCCATTATCATAGGAATGTAGGGAATTGCGAAAGTATCAAAAAGTGTAAAGGAGGCAAAAAATAACTCTTTTGCCACATAGATACAGCCTCTGTTGACATCTTGGTTCATTTACATCCAATCTTCTGCTTGCTTTTTTCCTCTCTCTATACAATTTTATGTCCTTTGTTTTTGTTTTCTCGACTTAACGTTATATCATAAGTGTTACACTTATAAGTGTAACGCATTTAAATTTTTTCCTAAAGAGTGTTTTTAATGGTTGCAGTTATTGCCGGGATGTGCCGTAATTCATTTAACCACCCGCTAATGTTGGACAAAGGTCGTTTCCAATTTTTTTGCTCTTAAAAATAATGCAGCCGTTATCATCTTTGTGCATAAAATGTTTGTCTTAGGATAGATGCCTAGAGAGGACTCCTGAGTCAGAGGAGAGGATGACGGATGTTTCTTTGCCCTCAGGTAGGAAAAGTGTGGATTCCAGTTTAGGAGCTCAGCTGCCTTACCTGCCTAGAGCACAGACCTTCCCCGGCAGCCCACCTCAGCACTGGGGAAAGATAGCTGGTGTGCATCTCAGTCGTCAGAGCTTTGGCCTCTAGCGTAAATCAGGGATGTGACCAAGGAAGCTTCTCCTCTCCTCCCTAAACAGTCTGCGGATATTCAGGGAATTGGTGGAGGTTGGGGCAAGGCTGTTGATTTCTGACCTGCCTGCCCCACATCCTGGGTTCGGCTGAGGAAGGGCTGGGCCCTGCTTTGCTCTCTGTTCCTCTCCCCCTCTTTGCTGCCTTGACCTCCTCCTCTGTCACAAAGGGCAGTTAGAGTCAGCAGACTAACCCTGTAAGAGCAGCCATCCTGCTCGGTCAGCAGATGTGATCTCGGGCGTCTTCTCTGTGGAAGACGGAGGAGCTTGCACTGCCAGAAGCAACACCCCCTGCTCCGAGCTGGCCCAGGATGACCGTGAGAGCCCCAGATTGGATTCTGCCTCTGCCCTGTGAATCCCTGATGGAACTGCCAACCAAATCCCCATTTTGAGGGATGATTTATGGCCTTGGGTGAGTTAAGAGGCAAAATGAACACAGCATGATTTTCAGATCACGGGCTGGGAATGCTCGGCCTTGGCAGGGAGAAGAATCGTCTTTGCCTTGTAAACGGAGCAAATATGATGTTGAAGAGGGAAGAAATCCAGGCCCCAAGATGTCATTTTTACAATTGCTTTCTGGCGTGTGACTTAGTAGTGCCTTCTGCAGACTGTTCACAGTCTCCTCCACGCACACACCCGTCTCGCTGGGTCTTTTGCGGTGAGTTATTCTACCAGCGTGGCTGCCTGGGGAACTGCGCACATTGCCAGGCAGTTTGTGAAAACCACCTGCTTCCCCAGTTTTCCTCGAATCTCCATGTTGTTTCCACGGCTCTCTGATTTCGTTTCTGAGAGGCAGCAGTTTTGACGATGGAATACACCCGGGTTCAAATCCCTAGCATTTACCAGCTGAATGAAACTGAGCAAGTGACAGAGTTCCCTGAACCTCAGTTTACTCACCTGTGAAAAGGCCAGGGGGCCAGGGTTAGGTAGCCCCAGCACACTTTCTAGCACATAGTAAATCCTCACGCAACGTGAGTTTTTTTCTTCCCTGCACACACCCACATCCATCCCAGTTTCTTTCCTTTCTCCCCTTTTGTTGGGTACAGAGCATTTTGATTCATCTGGTGGAAAACACTATGTCTTCTTTTCATGAGTTTTGCTTCGTGAGTTCTTTTTTCCCTGAAGGAAAACGCCAAGTGTCCATCGTCTTTGGAAAATCACTGTCAGACTGTGGTACACATTCCTGACCCAGGCCTTGAGTTTATTTTGTGAAAGAGCTGTCATCAGCCTCGGAAGTGGTGATGTTGCAATTCCTTGGATAGAACGGGTCAGTCTTAAGGGCAGCAGAAAAAAACTTCCCAGGAGTCACATGTTTGGGGAGCCCTAGTTGCTCCATCTGGAGGCCAGAGGCTGTCACAATGCAGAGCAAGTGGATTAGAAGCACCCGGTCCCTAGCAGACAGGCCTTTAGCACAAGGACGTGGCCAGGATAAAAATATGCACCCCCTGCATGTGAAGGACAGGCAGGCAGAACTGGCAGTCGCAGGTCAGATGCTATCACCCAGGGTGGTCTCCCTGTGGCCTTGAATGGCACATCCACGATTCTTCGGCCACCTTCTGTAAACCAGAAGGCCCCTTGGGTCACGCTGGGTGATTATCAAGGTAAACCATTCATCTCCTAATGAGCCTGCTCATTTCACACTCCCACCCCGCTGACCATTCACCGCACGGTGCTTTGCACCCCCCTCCCTCGAAGATTTTTTTTCCCAAGCAACTTCTAATTAAGATGCGTCTTGGCGGTTTTCCTTTTCTTTTTATTCGAAAGGCTTCCTACCAGCACAAAGCATAATTTATTTCGCTAGAAAATATAGTAGCAGGCTGTTGTAAAAAGAAAACTCGAGGTTAGGAGTCTTGGGTCCCCAGCCCAGCCCTGGCGCCAGCGGCCTCCTTTGGGCCTTGTACAAAGAGGTTTGTACCCTGGGCTGAGCGTCCTTGCTGTGATTCCCGGTTGGTTCCCCCTCACACACACCTCTGCCAGGCTATATGGACTGTGCTGGTTCTCTTGAAATCTGAAATTTTAGTAGCAAGTCTTGTTCCTGTCAGGAAGGAGTGAGTCAGGGTGTCTATTCCCAGAACACGTTGCTGGGGATGCAGAAGATGATTCATATTGAAACTGACATTCCCGGTGGCAACCTGCTCCCACCCGCTTTCTAAAGGCCTTTCCTTCCTTGGAAACAAGGCTGAGCCCACCGCAGCCAGCCCGCCCCTTTTTCTTTGCACAGCATTGATGGCAAGCATTTGCCAAATTTCCCAGCAAACGCAGTGACAAATAGGTATGTGAGTTCACAAAACCTCAGATCGGCAGTGCCAGTTGGATTCCTTGAAATCATCCGGTCCAGTTGTCTGATGATGGGAGTAAGAGGCACCAAGAGGCACAAGGACTTGCGAAGGTCTGACAGCCAGCACTCGGCCCCTGGTTTTTAATTTAGGCCTCTGTGTTTTCCTTTTTCTTTTTAAAGCATTGAAATGTAACTTATAACTTACATACAGTAAAATGCAGAAATCTTAAGTGTGCAGTGGAATGAATCTCACATACGGATACATCCCTGTAACCAGCCCCATAGATCAACATAGGGAGCCTTTCCCTTTCCCCAGAAGGTTCCCCCAGACCCCTCCTGGTTAGTAGCCCCCAAGAGTCACCACTGTTCTGACTTCTGTCACCTTAGATTTGTTTTATCGGCTTTAAAATTTCATATCATATTGTATATACTCTTTTACGGTTTACTTTTTTCACTCACAGTTATAGTCTAAACTCTAGTTTTTCAGGTTTACCCATTCAGCTTTCTTTGTTGCTGTTAATCCTCACTTGAGGATATTTTTTCCATTGATTTTTTTTTTTTAGAGAAAGTAGAAGGGAGGCAGGGAGGAGGAGAGAGAGAGAGGGAGAGAGAGAAACATCAATGTGAGAGAGACACATCGATTGGTTGCCTCCCACACGTGCCCCAACGAGGGCCAGGAATCCAGCCTGCAACCCTTCGTTGTGAGGGCCGACACTCTAACCACAAAGCCACACTGGCCAGGACTATCCATTCGACTTTTGCTGGACATTTTTGTTCCCTCTATTTGGTAATTATGAGTAAAGCTGCTATAAACACATTTTTTATTGTTTAAAATTTAGTGACTGGTTATTTTCATCAGCCCTATGCCACTACTAATCTGCTTTCCATTCCTATATAGATTTGTCTATTCTGAACATTTCATATAAAAGGAATCATATAATATCTGGCCTTTTGCCCAGCCAGGCATGGCTTAGTGGCTGAACATCGACCTAGGATCCAGGAGATTGCAGTTCGATTCCTGGTCAGGGCACATGCCGGGGTTGCAGGCTCGATCCCTAGTGAGGGACGTGCAGG